TGATACTCTAAATAATAAACTAAAACTGCCAGTAGGTGGTGGTAAATGTCTTAATGATTAAGTCATCGAGTTATTAATTAATTCATTTGATTCGTTCAAATGGCTGATTCATTCAGGAGTGAAGTAAATGGTTCTTTATGAATGGTCCATTGAATCATTCGGTTTGTTCGACTTGAAGCGTATCATCAGCATCAGATCGATCGGTGTGTGACATCAAAGTATCGCGAGTATGCTTCTAAATCGCTCTCGCGGGACTTTGATGTCACACACCCATCGGTCTTTGCAGCGCCGCTTCAAATCCAACGCGCCTATGGCCAATGGTTCAACGTGCCAAATGGTTCACCCAATTCATTCAAAACGTGCATTAAGAAATGAAATGTCGCTGTGTGTTGCTCGGAGACGAACAGTTCTGCTTTGTCTTTATATTTTCGTTGGCAAAATTGAGCAAAACAGACAACATTGTGTCTAAAATAACACAATATTAACTTCTTACTACTGAACTGTTGTATAAGATCAGTATCACATTTGCACTCATGTGATATTGCTTAACTATATGATGTAAATATGAGACAAAATCTTAAACAGGGGCATTTTTGCCCCATATCTTTAATTTTAGGGACATTCTAACTACGTTCTCTAAGCTCCATCACACAGTGAGTTGTTGCCCTGCCTCATATTTGTCATCAATCAGCTGTATGAAATGTCAGATGACCCACACATAGGTCTGTGGCGGGGCAAGTGCGTTAATACAGGTGATAACACAATGCGTTAATAATTTTAACACGTTATTTTTCACCGTAATTAATTAATCTAATTAACGTGTTAAATTTCCAGCCCTAATATATATATAGATATATATATACTGTATATATAATTTTCCCCCCAATAATTTTCTTTTTATTAACCGCAGTGGAAAAACACATTTCCCAGAATTCTCTCATTAAATATAGCTACTCATTTTGATGTCAGTATAAAATTGCTTAATATAAAGTTCTTAATAAATAGGAATAACTGTCTAAATCAGGGGTACTCAAGTTCAGAGGCCAAGCGGGCCACATTTAAACTACATAAAATGCGAAGGGCCACAAATTACAATTTGCATCATCAGACTTTATTTAAGACAATATTTGCAGATTTACTGATTTAGAAATACAGTGTATTACTTATCTAAGTCTTGCTTGCCCTTGTCCTATTTAAAATAACACTGAGCATGAATATATATATATATATATATATATATATATTAAGAGTAAAAACTGAAACAAAAAATTTGATTAAAAGTTTGTTTTGCTATATTGATGCAATAAAATTGCATTCATACTCAAACAGAGTATTGAACAAACTCAAAATGCTAAAATGCATTATTGAGCAAATAAAGTTCACAAATTTCTTTAGAAATAAGTGTTATTTTTTCTAATATATTTATATTAGCTATATTGTATCATTATTTTTTAAAATAGATATCACTATTCTCCCACCATGATTCTGAAAAAAAAACAGACAACTAAACAAAATAACATGTAATTTACTAGTTTCTAGAAAAAATTGCTGCAGTCTAGTTATAGAATACAATATTCAACGAATTGATAAAAAAAGTTAAACAAATGATTTATAACTCAAAACTTCATGACTTGCTCATAAAGACTACACTTGTTTCATTCCTGAATAAATCAAAGTTTTTTGAACGAATCTCATTTTAAAGGTGCAGTAGGAGATCTTGGAAAATGTTAACTTTAGCCTGATAGCACTGAAAGCGAACATCCCACCTCCCTGCAATCGCCGTCCAAAGCCACGCCCCTGAACGCATATACGCTCACAGACCAGAATACCAGAGACAACATTACTACAATAGGCTACATCAGCGGTTCCAAATTCCAGTCCCCGCACTGGATGCGAAGACGTGTGTGTGTGAGTGTGATGTGTGTGAAGACGCTGCGCAGCGCAAATCCGTGAATGAATGTTCTGAAGTGAAGTAAAGTTCAATGGATTTCCCCTGCTCAGAGAGTAGGGAGCAATGAACACTGTGTATGGATCATATCGATCGGAACACAGTTCATGCACGTAGCTCACTTCTAACGAGCTGGTTATCTGAATCGGGTGCGTAATCTAAGCGAGACATGCAAAATATGCAGAGCTGGGGGGCGCGAGGACAGGAATTGGGAACCGCTGGGCTACATCATGTGTCATTCACCGGTGAGAAAACTTTAAAAGTACTACAATACCAGGAAGGAAGATCGGGATAAATACATTTAGACCACTTAACTTAATGATTGCTATCGTGATGTGAAGAGACTTTCAACCAGCATAACAAAAAATGTTTCTGAAGACAATCACCTATTGCACCTTTAAGTCACTTGTCTTCACCTGCTGGCATTACGTTGTAATTGATACAATCATTATTTGAAGCATCGTCACTTTCAAAAAGGTGATTTGTTCTACTTTGATCGCTTCTGTAGACAGCTGTGTTTATATCCGAACTATAAACTTTTATTCCAGTAGGCTACTTCTGTGATTATTTGAATGTTTGTAATGTCAGCAGGTTGAAGCGACCCCAATAACGTGATATTTAGGCCTGGAATGTGAATTGTACCAGGAGGGCTGGGCAAAAAAAAAAAAATATCAGGTGCGTTCCCGAGGTCAACACCACCTTCCAGGGCTCTACAGTGCGACCATTTGCGACTGAAAATTACTGCGTGCTGTTTAGAAGGTGCTCCTAAAATTTTGAACGTGCTCCTAAATTTTTTAAGTTTAAAAAAGAAAAAAAGAAAAGTAAGCGTAGAGCCCTGCCTTCACATAAAAAGTCAGAGGTATGGAAGCATTTTAGATTTCGCAAGCACGATGACAAAAGAAATTGGAATTGGAACATCTGAATCGATACCCAGCCCTAAGGAGAACCCCGCCCAAAAAAAATTTATTTTACCCCAGAACACGATTTTTACTGGGGGACCCCCTCGAAAGCAATTGGGCTATTTTCAGGCTAGTTTTGAGTAGTAATTGGGCGGTTTTTGTAGCGAAAACCTGGCAACCCTGCACCAGACAGAGCTGTCGGCGATTCTTCCTATTGTAAAGTCATGCAGTGTGTAACCTCCTGTCGTCGTTCCATCGTGCAGTGTGAACACAGCAACAACTGAATGCTACCCCAGATAGTCGTTCAGTATGAAACCAACAGTGATGCGACGTCTTTGAAAATCGTGCAGTGTGAACTCGGCATAACACAGAAATAACGATACAAAAGACTTTGTAAAGATGTTTCAAATAGGCTTAAACTGCTCTCTCTGGTCAGCGGCAGCATGAACGCAGATTTTAATGTCACCGAGTGTGATTCAAGGCTTTAATAGACATATAGCTGAATCCTGACATTTATGAACAAGATTGCGTGGGTGATTGAATCTGTTCGCGATCTGGCTATTTATTTAAATATCCAACAATATACGACAGTAAATATACAACCGTAAACATACGACGCGACGATATATGGTTTAGCTGTTCTTCAAGCCATCTCTGGTATTTTCATAATAATATTTATAATCCAATGCTAATCGACATAGCCTTTATTACCGTATAGGATATATTATCTGCCTCGTTCTATGACACAAACCGCACATCAGCTCACAAAATGAAGTTATTTCAAACACTGATGTTGTGGAGTAAAATCATGTTATTAAATGTCCTCTTTTGTTGGACAACGCTTCTTGTTTTGGGGCGTGCCGCGTGGTTAGTTACAGCGCTTGCAGAGATCAAGCAGCTTTTACTACTGCGATTGTATACATTTAATTAAAAAAATCTAACTGCCTAATATTTTGAGCGCAAATTGTTATAAAAATACATTAATCTTTAGTATGACGCGGGCCACAGTATTAATGCAGGCGGGCCGCCTGTTGAGTACCCCGGGTCTAAATGTTTAAAATTATTTGACACTTAATGAAATTCTTGTGTTGAATTTCTATGAATTGCAATATTGTATTATGGTTAATAGTGTTAAATTATATAATTTTATCAGGTTTAAAGCTTTTAGCAAATCATTACAATCCCAAAACAGATTAAGTTTAATAAGAGCTTTATAAACCCCAACATAGAGTTTTAGTCTGAAATGAAATTCTGCTCCCAAGTAGTGAATCCTCTTCTAACGAGAATCGTTTAAGAGACAAAATAGGTTTAGTCGGCTTTAGTTTGTTTTTCTCCAAGTGCATTTTGAACTCTTGATCTCAGGAATAGGAAGCAGGTCTTTCAAATACAAAGTTATGAGGTCAGCCTTAATCAGAATCAGAATCAGAATCAGAAGAGCTTTATTACCAAGTATGTTTACACACACAAGGAATTTGACTTGACGACAGGAGCTTCCAGTGTAGAAGAAAGTACAAACATAGTGCAGACATACATGATAGTGCAGACATACATAGGAATAACACAGTAGGGATGTAATATAACACTAATATAATAAAAAAAAGAAAAATTGAATAATGTACTATATACAGAAATAGAAGTATAGGAAAAAATGTAATTGTTTAGATAAATGTACATATATGTTTATTAGTGTGCAGATATGTTATTTACAAAGTGTGCAGTTTAATATAAATATACTATGTTAGTTGTGATGGACGATGTATAATTATGAAAGATTAATTGTTCAGACTGAATATAGCTTGTGGGAAAAAACTGTTCTTGTGCCTGACTGTTCTGGTGGTCAGTGCTCTGTAGCGCCGACCAGAAGGCAACAGTTCGAAGAGAGAGTGGGCTGGGTGTGAGGGGTCCAAGGTGATTTTTTTAGCCCTTTTCCTCACTCTGGAGATGTAAAGATCTTGGAGGCTGGGCAGAGGGACACCAATAATCCTCTCAGCAGTCCTGACTGTCCGTTGTAGTCTCTTGATGTCTGATTTGGTTGCTGAACCAAACCAGACAGTTATGGATGAGACCATTTTAAAAGTGCAGCTGCACGATGTCAAGAAAAACAGCTTCTGAATCCTGTTTGAGTAGGTTTCCTTCATTCTGAACCTTTAACTGTGGTCTCCTTGTGCTTGCAGATCAAGTCCCAGGAGCTGTTTGATGAATGGGTCTCTAAGCTGCGTCACCACAGACTTTACAGGCAGAATGAGATCGCCATGTTCCCTCATGAGAAAACGCTCTTCCACCCTCATTACCCCCTCACCTCCTCCCCCACGATACCTGACAGTCAGTCCATCAGAAAGGTAACGCCTTGGGACTTGTAGAGGGTTTAGATGGAAAGATAAATGTCAGATAAAATGACGATGACTGTGCAAGTGTTTTAACTTTGAGAGAATGTTAAAGGACTGTTCAAGGTTAAACGCTCTGTTAATTTGTGGCAACTTTCCCAAAATAGTCTCTCAAAAAGCATTTTTTTTTTTCACACTATGACTAGTTTATTTAATTTGTTTACCAGTGTTGGGAAGGTTACTTTGGAAATGTAATAGGTTACAGATTACAAGTTACTCTATTTAAAATAAGTAGTGTAACTATTTCAATTACTTTATTAAAGTAATGCAACTGATTGCATTTGATTACTTTTCAAAATTTTTAATGTTTTCAACTGTTTAAAACATGTAAACCAGGCAGGGTTAACCTTACAGTAGTACTCGACACTGATTAATGTCATTTTCGAAATCCTTCATCACTTGAATTAAGAGGATAATAATTTAATTTGAAAGCACGGCCACCACAAAATCACACTTTAGCACCTCTTTTTGAGGTTAAATACAGATTTAAAATCATAGCAAGAAAATGTTTGATAGCTATGATACTGTTTTTGAAATCAGATCTTTGCATAACTATGACAGGAAACGCTGACATCTAACAATACCTTGGAAAAACAGTTCATCTTAAAAAATAAAGCACATACAGAAACGCAAATAGCGAATAAAACAGTTATGTGTGCTATTCTGTCCTAAACTCCTGAAACATTGGTGTCTCATGTTTTAGAGCAGTCAGTGCAATTTGGGAAAGAAATCAATAAAATCTGCGAGTGTGTGAAAATATTCAGATGGAACCTCCTTTGTAATCGTCAACATTTTTATAAGTAACTGTAATTTAACTACACATTTTTTCTCAGTAACTGTAACTGATTACAATTTACATTTATTTTGTAATTAAATTGACTAATTCCACTACATGTAACTAGTTTCTCCCCAACATAGCATATGCATTTATGCATTTTTATGCATTAATGCATTTTTAGGCATATTTTACAGGAGAACTTATTTATACTCTTTCTCTCTTTCACCTCAATCATTTTCTGTCTATGTTTCTGCCTCTTTCTCTCTTTATGTAGCGTGCCTCTCCTGCAAAGCAGTCCTCTCTCCACTCGCCGGTATCTTTTACCAGTCAGGCCAAGGTGACCGCCTGGCTCCAGTCTTCTGATGACATGGACAGGTGCACCAAAGGTACACACACACACCAATTTATGAATCCATCTCACTCTGAAAATGCTGCGTCTGCAGCTTTTTACTGCACAATGTTCTTTGTCTCTCTCTCTCAGAACTCTCAGTATGTGAGGCTCAGCTGCTGGAACTGAATCACTTGTTAAGAAGTATGGAGGTGTTACACCGCACCTGCTCCGCCCCAGCCATCAACGCTCTGCAGGTTACATGTCACTCCCACACAAAATTATAATAGTTATTATAAAATATTTTATTTTTGTTAACAATCAATAGTGAAGTCATATATCAGAAGAGTTAGATAAAGTGTTCAATACATATCCAACAAATATAAGGATGTATTTAGTTGAATTAGTATTAGTTTGGATTTTTTAAATTTTACTTGGACTAACTTTTTCAAATGTTTAATAGACAAAAACTTTAAAACTGCTGCCCTCAAAAAAGGCCAGGCTTATTTCCTCAGGCAGTGGTCCAGCTGTGCCTGTGGATGCTGTTAATGTTCTTGCCTATGGCCCAACTGACAAACAGTCATTCAGTTGATAGCACAATTTCAGAAGGATAGCCGTGATGAGATTTGCAGTCATAAATCTAATTATTCCACATAACCGCTGTTACAGATGAGCTATAATTCAGAAAGCTGTCCTTTCATCTGCCAAATGGGCCGCCTTATTTTATTACAACTGCTGTTTACTTTAGCTCCTTTGAATGTAAATGTTGTCTTCGGCTAGCTTTTTGTTTTGTGTCGTCTGGCCGACAAATAATGGGAGAGATCAGGGTGCAAGTACACATTGTTCATTTACATATACTGCTGATTTTTGTAACAATACAAAGCTGGTTAAAAATCAGCAAACTTATCTTTTAAGATGCTGGGCATTAATCCAATTGTTGTCACAGAATTCTTCCTCTTTTTATTTTTTGCATGTTATGCCCAATAGCCAATAGATGGCCAATATTCTATATTATTTTGTATAAATAAATTAAAAATAAAACACTAAACAACTATAATCAGTCATTAAGTGAATTTGGGCATCACAAATTTATAATGTATAGTATGAAAATGGATATCTATGTCGAGATTTGCTAAAGATTACAATATTAGTTGTTAAATTACTAGTGTGTTTAAATATGAACTTGCTAGATGAGTGTTAGAAGATGGCAAAGCTACATAAATGCAAAAATAGGGGAAATGAGCATGCACAATTAAATTTCCAATATCAGGAAATATATATCCAATACTGATAAATTAAAACTAAATCTCTTATATCTGTCATTAACTGATATTTACCGATATATTGTGCATATGTATAAAAATATAGTTTTAGTGGATTAATAAAAGGCTTTCAATATGTATTGGGGGAATGATGTTTAAAAAAAAAAGAGTCTCACTGTCTTGCATTTTGTATAGGCTTCAACGTACGACAGCCCAAAAAAAGAGAAGAGACATCCCAGAAAATGGCGTCCCAAGAATTATGGGAAAGACAACAAAACAACCCTGCAGGTGATCCGTGACCTTCTATTTGCAGATATTAAAACATAAAACTGCCTTTAAAAAGGCTTTGTGTAGCTTATAAGGCAGTTACGAATCACTCCATGAATACTTCAAATTACTAGAGAGCCATGCATTGTTAATGGTAACGTAATGTTTTATTGAGCTGATTTGCTGACATATTACATGCATGAATAGTGTGATGACAATGATAGTCACGCCTCGTTTTATAGTCCCTTAAGTATTACACAAAGGACCATTAAGTATTAGACAAATTTCCTGTCATGTTTTCCCCAGGCCATTTAACTCGCAGTGCTTTCTGTGCCAAAATGAATAGCAGCATCACTGACCGTTGACCTGGTATTTTCTCCTAATTTTTATAGGTTCCAAGCTGTATCTCAGCAGGCTCTATCCGTCTCCATGCATCCAATCCCAACCTTTCTTCAGTAGACCTGACCAATGAGAAGACTTACCATGAACCTCTAGACTCGCCTATAGATGTATCCAAACTGCAGGAAGACTTCTGCCGTGTCGCAAACAACCGTGAGTTCTGCCACAGTAAACTAGTTTAAGTGATGAATCAATAGAATAGTGCACCATTTATTAGAATGATGTACCTCATCATTCTCCCCCAATTCCTACATTTTTGGCTCAGAATGTCTTATTTGCATATAGAATACATGTCATTAGGAGGAAATTGCTGAGGGAAGAGCTAAAACTCGGGAGAATGCGACAGATGTTGATTGCAGATGGTTTTTTGCACTTTGTCTTCGTGAAGATTGTGAAAATCAGAATCTCATTGTAAGAGAAATTACCCAGCAGGTCCCTTAGCACAGGTCAAACGGTTTGATTGGACAATATTAAAACCTCTCTAAGTAAGGTGACCAGCAAGAATAAAATACTACAATACTTAGAACAGCATGAGTTTCCTTGCTAGTTCCTGTTGTTTTTTGCCGGTTTGGTGCTGTTCTAGATTATGGACTACTGTTGTATTTTTAGTGAATACTGATGACCTAATGTACTATATCTAATCTATCTGATTAAGCTAGTTATAAATTGTAGGTATGCCAGCGCAGTATTTCATGCAAATGGTGCTCTTTTGATATCCATTGAAAGGATTTGGTGGCTCCGGACCTGCAGACGTGTGAATTGAAATGGAAAATCCGTTATTTTCTGCAGGTGGTTGGTCATTGTAAATTAGGCAACATCAGTGACATGCAAATAATCAAACCTCAGTACAGAATATCTGTTTATTACTGGTGCTTCTATAATGCTGTTTCAAAAGTTGCTTGACAGAAATGTCCCTGCTAATACAATACACATGATACACAGCTTTAAATTAATGTGTGGTTTTGTGTAGTGGTAAAAACTACACTAACCAACACAAAACTAGAAAGTTTACCTTCTTTACTTGACTTAAGGCGGGCATACACGGTGCGATTCTGAAGGTCGGAACGTCGTGAGCTCTGGCACATGTTACGATTGAGTTTATCCGAAAATCGTACGGAGGCAGTCACACGCGACACGAATTTACTACGATTTTACAAACTCTGACATAAGCATTACGTTTCGCGCCATTCATAAAAATATGGATTCTGAGGACGAAATAGTTTTCTTTGTGGCAGGCGGCTTGTGACGTACAAAAAAAATAAAAAACGAAGACAAAGGACATGTCAAAGAGAATGGATGAAAAGCAGAGAAAAGCATGGACTTTCTGTTCTTCATAAAGAACTCGAGGGAGTAGGCCATTTCTGAATTTCTGCTCGTTTTGCCAGAAATACAACAGGCATATTCATTCATAAAGCTGAATTTGGCATATTAACAAATTATGTGTATATATGTGTATATTTGTAATAACAAATAAAAAATAGAACTGTATAATTAAACTAAAATTATTATATGGTTTTTGTCATCTTCTGATTGGTCAACTTCAGATGGATCGCCAAATCGTCTCGTTCAACCACACATACGGCACGAATTTAAACCGACAGCATCCGATTTTTTTTTACATGTTTGAAAATTATCGGGAGGACGGGAGGTGCTCGTAACGTCTCGTAACCATGCGAGCATCTGCGATTTTCTCCCGAGAGATAAAAATCGCCTGCGAGCTCGTACGACAGCAAAATTCGCACCGTGTACACCCGCCTTTACACAGTGTCTGAGATGTCCAGCAGTTGCTAAAACTGTCAAACTCTATGAAAAGATCTTTAATATCTCATAATCTTTTTATATTTATATTTGGTCAGTCGTCAGTAGAATGACGTGTTTCTGGCCGGGGTCAAGTTGTTCCCGGCCGGCCAACGTAGAACATTGGCGCGCATTATGCGAATGTGTTATTTGCATGGTGGAATTCGTTTCAGTATATACTAACACTCATTTCAGCTGTTCAGAGTCGATTCTTTATTTTGGGATACAATAACGTTATTTATCGTGCACTTTCAGCTTTACAACTTTGCAGATCGTTTACATTCGCATATAGCTACCTTACACACTGCATGAAAGGCAATATTGGAAATGGCATAATAGGGGCACTTTAAAACAAGTCTCCAGTGCTCAAAAAGACTGCATTTATTTGATAAACAAATGCATTAAAAACAGTAATATTTTGAAATATTATTACAGTTCAAAACAACTGTTTTCTAGTTCAATTTATTTTAAAAAGTAATTTATTCCTGTGATGGCAAAGCTGAATTTTCTTTAGCCGTTACTCCAGGTTTTAATGTCACATGATCCTTCAGAAATCATTCTAATATGCTGATTTGGGGCTCAAGAATATATTTTTTTATTATTATCAATGTTAAAACAGTTGTGCTGCTTAATATTTATTTTTTTGTTTTTTTGTGGAAGCTGTGATTTATTTTTTTTTTTTCAGGATTCTTTGATGAATAGAAAGTTCAAAAGAACAGCATTTATTTGAAACATTTGGTAACTTTTGATCAGTAACGATAATCCAAACGATAACTTTTGAATAAATTTTAAAAATAATCACGCTGACCCCAAATTTTTGAACAGTAGTGTATATATAATATTTTCTAAATAGCATATATATTTATATTATTTAGATTTTTCATTTTAGGTTTCTCATTTAGGTTTTAGTTTAGGTACGAAAAATATGAGGTTAACCTCCTTGTTTCTAAGATTCATTTCTCAGTTCTAGTACTCTATATTCACTCTTTATATTCACCAAGAACATATTGAAGAAGTCAACTTTGGTGAAACCATGTTCAACAAGTTGTTTGTTATTTCTGTTAAGTATCAAAGTAATATCAACCTTTTTCTGTTCTAAGCTCAAGTACAGGTTTTCACTGTTTACTGCACACAGTTCCTGTTTCCTTGCTACTATAGCAACGTTTTAAAATCACCCTTACGATCTGCATCTGCAGCAGGTTTTAGGAGACCAAAGCAGCACATGAAACTTGCTCGTGTGAAAGGCCCTTCACACTCCTGCTATAATGAAAATGGAGAATACTTGCACTAAAATACACATTTTCTCTTCCTGACATATGACTCAGAGATTATTAGGCATCGCATGAATATGTATACTCCCTCAAATTACAAGCAGATCGTGTTTCATAAATCATGTCTCATAAATCATGCATGAAGATGTGAGAATCAAAACCATATCCTTAAATGATTTGTCCTTATATATATTCCTGAAATGATGCTTGACTCTTTTTTGTGTTTGTATCCAGTTCATACAACCATGAAATCAGCCCTGTGCATGTTGACGACAGAGAAAGAGAGACTTAAACAGATGCTGGAGCACGAGTCTTGTCCTACCCCCTCGGCCCAGGTCCTGGGAATGAAGAATGCCTTGGCTGCTGTACGCACACAAACACACACACACATTTCCTCAGACTCAATGCTATTTACTAACAATCGTTCAATTTCTTGTCTAAACTTTTCTTTAAAGCATTGCATGCAAGCAGAGCTCTTGTTTGGTGCTGATGTAAACGTGCAGCTCTTATATCAATTTATGAATGGCCAAAGTATAAGACAATATTTAGATGTGCTTTCTAATAAAGTGCAGAGAATTATCTGTGGAAGTGCTATTGTAGTATAATGAGTATGTCGAACTTCTAATGAATCTTGTGAACAATAACGTTGACCCTCACAGCAACATTTTTACATGCTAAAAACAGTCTGTGCTAAATCGAGTTCTGTAACACTGAATTATGACTCATCTTCCTCAGTGAGTCACGTTATTGTGAAGCAGACCCCCACTCTAGCACTTCTGAGAATAAGCGCCAAACTAACATCTGTTATCTTTTAGAACTGCAGGAAATCTGTTTGAAATTCAAAGTCCAGCTCCAACCTAACTGGTTCTGCTAGACAATTTTAAAGGAATAGTTCACCTGAAAATTTAAAATTGAATAATTTACTCACCCTCATCCAATCCTATTTAACCTTCTTTCCTTCTTAGAACACAAAGAGAGATATTTTGAAAAATGTTCATGCTGCACTTTTCCACAAAATGAAAGCATGCTAGGATCAGGGTTGTCAAGCTCTAAATAAATATAAAAAATAAAAAGTATTATAAGTCCATATACCTCATTAAGCTTTAAGTTGTTACAGTATTACCTGAAAATCAAACCTTATTCTGTCATATTCTCATTTTGCTTGTTTAAAGGGGTCATATGATGTTACTAAAAAGAACATTATTTTGTGTATTTGGTGTAATGAAATGTGTTTATGCGGTTTAAGGTAAAAAAAAAAAACCACATTATTTTCCACATACTGTACATTATTGTTTCTCCTCTATGCCCCGCCTTTCTGAAACGCGATTTTTACAAAGCTCATCATTCTGTAAAAAGCGAGGTGTGCTCTGATTGGCCAGCTATCCAGTGCATTGTGATTGGCCGAATACCTCAAGCGTGTGACGGAAATGTTACGCCCCTTACCATATTGTGATGCCGTGTCCCGGAGCGACGAGACATAAACATTAAAACCCATTATAAACGAGGCATTTGTTGCATCCAGTGGGGATTATAATGACTTGTACTGTCTTTTTACGCGTTGCATTGCATCGAACCACGTAAACATTAAACCATGTCTGCATTTGTGATCGGAGAAATGACAAACAACAAGCGCTACTCTACACTGCCCAAAACTTGCGTTTGAATTATCAGTGGAAAATTCTTTAAATATGAAAACATACTTACAGACTAATCTATTCACGAACAGCTTGTAACACTCCAAAGAGAAAGGAAAACTTGAAATAGCATCATATGACCCCTTTAAATCTCAGATTCACTTTTGCATATTCAAATTAGGGCTGTCGCGTTATCAGATTTACACTACGCATTTATTGTGGCCAAAAGAATTCACAATGTTCACAATAAAAATAAAAATAAATCACTATATTATCGCAATACACTTTAAAAAAGTTCTACCTACTAAAACTTAAGTTCAGTTGCTAATTCAGTTAATTAAGCATAATCAAATTGGCTGTACAAGTCATTTCAACTTAAAATATATTAAACAGTCTAAAAAATACGGGTTGAATCTTGTATAACTTAAAAAATAAAGTTGAGATTGGTTAAATTATTTTGGTGAGTTAAAGTAATGCAAAAACATGTTGCCATGACTTGTTGATCATATAATTTTATTACAGTGTATCAATATAATTTTTTTTGTAATTCATCTTTGTTTATTTTTGTTTCCATTTGTTTGGCCACGTTTCCACGTTTGTCATCTAACGTGATTTTGTGCAGCAGTAGTAGCTTGCACACTGCCTCGACTTCTTTTTCAGTTCTATGATAAGCTACTATATTGGAGTGTCAGCCAAATCATTACTGGTGCTGAATTATTTACAATATTATCGTATGTATAATATTGACAGGATATTAGTATTTCATTTTTTAACTATCACAGTTATTGTCAGTAACGATATAATTGACACCCCTAATTCAAACTTGGCAGTTATCAATTATGAAAAACTAAAGAATGAAAGCCATTTAATCATCAAAACTGTTGCGACATATCTTCACACTGCACATTTGAATAAGTGCAAGATTTGAGAATGTATTTCCGATTTTATTTCAAATACGGGGCCATTCACACATAGACATGGGCAGTGGAATGGGGGAAGAACGTAAAGTCTCAAAATGCATTTTTTTTTAATCTTGAGCACCACAATTTTAGAACACAGTGTCATGCAAAAAACGCTGCAAAAGACGCAAATGCAGAGGTCAAAGATGTCTGTCTAGCACATTTACATGGAAAAGTAGCGCAATTGAATGGAAAACATGTTCTGCATGAATGGCACCTAAGAGTTATTGTCTTTGCTTAGTTGTAGTCTCTATATATGCCTTTGAAATAGATGAGGGTGAATAATGACCTGTTTTCTTTTCATTGTTCACGGTATGTCTGATAGTTAGGATCTCTATGTGGAAGCCATGTGAGTATCTGCTGGTTGCTTTTGCAGGCTGTAACACAGAACACTGAGCTGCGAGAGCGTCTGTGCAAGATTCACGCTGAGTCGCACATCTCTGAGCCCTCTGTCCATATAAACCTCAGCCCTGGCCCCCTGCAGGTGGGTCTGGGAAATGTACTATCATTAGTGCCATTGTCAAGACCAGACCATTTCTATAGCTGCCACCAACCATACTTTTCATTAGTCATCATTGCTCATTATTCACAAGTAGAGGTTTCATTATTGTTGAAAGAATTAGCGTAAGATTTGTCAACTGAATAGTTTTTGTTACCTCGGGATAAAATCCAAGGCTTAAGTTGATTTATGCTAATTGAATCCACAGATACTCTATGGAGAGACTGAGTCAGACTCAGTAGTGCCAGTTAATCATGTCTCTGGATGGTTTACGCCCAAACCCACTTGCACGCTCACTAACAACCTTATATACAGCACCCACGCTTCACATGCTATTAGCGTTATGTTCCTGTGGAATTGCTATGTCAATAACCATCTTCCCTAATTGACATTCTAGTCAACATAATGCTTTTACGCTAATTAGCTTGCAAAGCTCTACCAACTCATCTTTCCTTTTTGTCTGACTGCTTCATAACAAGCCATGATTAAAAAGGAACTGTTTGTGCCCATTTTGTTTTTTTAACTTAGTCTTGTGCTGATTAGAAATATTCTCCCTCATTCTGCATTTTTGTTTTAATCTTCTGTTGGTTACTTGTATCCTGTTTGCTTCGTATGTGAGCTAATGAGGTGAATCTCATGAAAGCTGCCAAGAAATATCTGGGACAAATTTCATCTCAAAATGAAAAGAAACAAATAAGAATTTATGTATTGTGTATTGAAAATGAAGCCTCTTTTAAGACCAATTATATTTTTCCATTAGGATTTTCATGACAATTAGGCACACATAACAGATCTCTGTAGCCCACTGTATAAAAATCATAACTCTCATAACTGTTGAAAAATCTCATTCTCATCACTCTCACTCTAAAAAAAAATGATGGTGGTATTTAATAATTCACTCATAATTTATTCAAATCCTACTCTTACATTTCGCGGGTCAGTTTGACCCAGTGAAACTTGAGCTTATAAAACTTTTTTTTTCCGGCTAAAACCATATTTAAAACATATCTGATCAATACCTTTTCATTAATTAGTGGCTGTGCAAACATTTTTATGCATTGATTATTACTGTGTTATTACCATTTTATTAATACATTCACTTTGGACTGTAGTTCAAGTTTATTTGTTTATCTTTTATCTGTTTATAGTTTATGCATGTATATTCATGTTTACCATGTTAAAAGTGTGTGATATGGGAAAGAGCCTAAATATGTATTTCAAAATATTTTTTTAGACAAGTCTAACTCATAGATTAAAAAAAAAAGTCTACATAATATCATGTGTAAAGCCTCAGTTGATACCCGGGTAAAAGTTGGCTAAGACCAAAATAAGCATTGCAATGTACATTTAAAAAAATATTATATATATATATATGTATGAAGAGTTCAGATGCAAAAGCCTCTAAGTGCCATCTAGAATTTTCTTCTAAAATTAGCATTTTTATCAGGCTCCTATGTTTAGGTTCAGTAATTTTACTTTAATGGCAATGAATAGGTCCTTTTCTGTGCCATTGAAGTGAAAAAAATTAACAGAAATATAGGAGCCTGACAAAAATGCTAATTTTAGATGAAAATTTCAGACGGCACTTAGAGGCTTTTGCATCTGAACTCTTCATATATATACTATGGGCCAGTTTTAGTAAACAGGGCAAATTAGCGTGAGAGCGCAATTCCAAAAGAGTGCCGATGGGAGGGGAAATTTCTGCGGGTGATTTACTAACAACGCGCAAATTAAAGAACACATACACAATATCTCATTTACATAACGACCAACGCAATATACCAAGCGCAGAGCAAATTAGAGCAGTTGCAAATAAATAATAAAGAAATAAAGAAGCCATAGTACGTTGAAAAGAACTAGAGGCCAAAAAATGCTAGAAGTTGCAAAACCTAGTTGAGGGTTCCAAGTCGTTTTTTATTTCCTGAAGCAAATTAAAAATAACATGGCTTGGCAAACAATATGTTCGGATAATGTGCTCTTCTGGCATTCAAAATAAATTAATATGTGTGGAAAAAAATCCTCTCCCTTTTACCACGCACTCTCTCAACTCTGCGGTGCCTCCTCCTAGCAACAAATTGCAGCCATTTCAAGCGCAAAATAGTTTAAGACATGCTTTTTTTGGGTGTTAAATAATGGCGCAAATACCAGTAATTTGACGAGCGCAAACGTTAGTAAAACGCATTGCGTGATTCATTTGAATACTCTCCTCCCATAAATTTTGCGTCTGAAAGGATATTGCATATGCATATTACGTCAGGCGCAAAAATATCTGTGTCCACGCCTTTTCAGTGCTAATTCTTCACTGCACGTCTTTAGTAAATCCTGACAGTACTATTATAACGGCAAAAGACGGTTTACGCTGGCGCAAGCTGTTAGTAAAATTGACCCTGTATACATATACACATGTGTGTGTGTGTGTATATATATATATATATATATATATATATAACATCCACAAGCCTGGTTACCTCACCAATGACAGGCTGCTACCACAGAGGTGAGCCAGTCTTCTTAACACAGTTAAGTTTTGGCAGTGACATCAATTTTGTGTTTTGCAAGGTTTGCTGCTTAAGCTGTTGTGGTGTTCATTCACATTGTTTCTAGGTTATAGTGTAGAGTGATCAGATGCATTTTTAATAATTGATAAAAGCTTCATTGGCCAAAAAAATAACTTTTTACAAAAAACGTCTCGGTTACGTATGGTAACCCTCGTTCCCTGAAGGAGGGAACGGAGACGTCAATTGGGATCTCGCTTAGAGAGACCAATCTACTTCGAGTGTAAACTCAGCAAACCCAGCAAACCTTGCAAAACACAAAATTGATGTCACTGCCAAAACTTTTGGCCATGACTGTGTATATATATATATATATATATATATATATAAGCAATTTAATTGTTACATTAATATTATAAACTTTTAAAATTATATTTTGATATTCTTAACCCATTATATTTCGATTTTCTTAACCCATTTGCAAAGTTCTTCCGGGTCTAAACTGAATTGAATGCAGTAGGAGGGTTCATTTATTCTGATTTTAACTTAAAAACAATGTAGCTTGACTGGATTACTAAGTTCTGTATTACATTAGTTAGGAGAATTTTTCGCATGTTACAGTAATGAGACGTTTGGGGGATAGTGTGCTTAATTGTTATGAAAATATTGAAAAAAATGGAATGGTTAAAAAAATAGGCATTATATAAATAATTCTATAATTAGCTATATACACATTTTTTCTTTTTGCTATTCACCCATTCGGCTCTGTGACCTGAAACCATGATTTTTCTTCATACAGAAGCAAGACTCCAGTGATGGTTCCCGTCCTCTTGTCCACCAGGTGTCTAATGAGAGCAGAGCTTCCATTACAGAGTCTCTATCGGAGTTCTTTGATGCGCAGGAAGTGCTGCTGTCAGCTAGCTCTTCAGAAAATGAGGTGAGAATGAAATCCCATCTTTTCTATCAGTCCCATAAATGTGCTGCTCTGAGTGTCAATGCAGTAGGGGTACAGATGGGCACCAAAAGTGACCAAAATGAGTCATACCCTAGTTTGGCTATAGTATAGTGTCAGGTTTTTCAAACTCCGCTCCACGAACTGACATATTTGCCTAGCTCTACCAAATCGTCCAATAGATTTACTGCACCTTCTCAGAAGACCAGCTGCCTCTGCTTTCTCCTTCACCTCAGGCAGACATTGAACCAAACCCTATTAAGAGACAGAGGAAAGGCCTAATTATATTAAACATGTAATAAGTGCTACGCATGACATTCCACAGCTTGCCTGCCATCCCTGCTTTCTCACTCTAACTTCATTTCTGCCTCACACTGAGGCCGACCTGCTCAAGCGTCTCCTGTAGCAGAAGTAATATGAAAATTTAGATAATTGCTTCTCTCTAAAAATACCTCATGCAGAATTAGGCTTCTGTAAGAATTTGTACCACAAAAAAACGTTCTTCATTTTTTTCCATTGGAGTGATGGACCCAAAAACACGGTTTTGATCATGTGGTTTATTAAAGAGTGCAGAGAGATGCACATGTTGATGATTTTCAGCTGCTAGGTGGTCTGTGATACATTTATATTGTCAAAGAGCCAAACACCTGTAATGATGATGTGTGGTTTCCTGCTAGCCTTCGGAAGATGACTCATATATCAGTGACATCAGTGACAACGTGTCTATGGAGAACTTCAGCAACGAGGTGGAGAATGAGAGACTCAATACAGGTGGGTATGCCACATTTTTCCTCATGTCATTGACATTTCACTGTCATTCCAGTGTTATTTCAAAGATCCAGTGGGAATCTCTTACGGTCTACATTTGACAGCTGTTTTATAGCTGTGTGAGGGATTTGGTGTGTTCAGAAAAAAGCACTGACAAGCAATTTTAACATGCCTGAACTGAAACTTCCTAAGACCTTTCTGGAGATCAGGCTCCTGAACCGTGTTTTTCTTTTTCTTGTGTAGAGAACGGTGGTTCTCAGGAACAGCGGCGGTCTTGTCTTCCCTCCCCCAGTCCCAATACCAGCAACATCAGCCTGTGGAACATCCTGAAGAACAACATCGGGAAGGATCTGTCTAAAGTAGCCATGCCTGTTCAACTCAACGAGCCGCTCAACACACTGCAGAGACTGTGTGAGGAACTGGAGTACAGCGAACTGCTGGACAAGGCTGCACACACACAGGACCCGTTTGAGCGCATGGTAGGAAGAGGTCACACACATAATTGCGCAAACCTATTTGTATATGTAAAGTGTTTGGATTCAAAAACACTCATAAACTTGCATTATTATTTGAGCTAATCCCAGTCATTGTGCACATTCAAATAAAAAGAAATGTTGCCATCCAAATAGTGAACGCTAGAAATGCCAAGAAATGTGCATTTTTGGTGCAAATATGAATTCTCAAGAGGAATTCTCACTGTCATTTGTGAATGCAAAGCATTCTGGTTTTGCTTTATGTTCACATTTGCGTGTCCATACAAAGCTAATGTAACGAAACATCACTGAGGAAGAGATAATAAAGCATAATACAAGCATAAAAACTACAATCAAATAGGGCCAAAATAGAAATTCTCTCAGGTTTAAATGCACTTCCTTAAAATATCTCATGAAGGTGAGATCTCATCCTTATTGCATATTAATAGTCTAATAATATTGTCATGTTCAATTTAAATCACTATTATGTAGGACACTGTGAAATTCAGGTTTTTTCCCAAATTACATTTTTTCTGTTTTAATTTTTCTCAATTCCCTTTTTTTCCTTTTTAATTTTTCAAGACTCTGTTTTAATGATTAAATTAAATTATATTAATCAAAAACATGTCTAATTAATTGAAATCATGAAACTTATCATATTAAATAGCAATTTATGAAAAGTTTAACTAAAATTTAATTTTAAGGCCCTATAAAATGTTTTATTTTTCTGCTAAATAAATTCTGGTAAATAATGTTTCTGGTAAATATTCCTTTAAAAATAATGTTTCAATAATTTTATTATTAGCAGTAGTGCAATCATTAAGTAATATTTCTGTCACGGTTTCTTCAAGTTAAACTGAACTTTTATTTTGACAGGTTGCTGTGAAGTCTTTTAGGTTTCTGTTTGTATATGATATGACGATAGTTTTACTCAAAAGAAATGGTAAATTGCTCACGAAGTGACTCAGATCAGTTCTACAGATTTTGTTCATATGTTCATATACTCATATATTGAGGTGGCAGATGCTGAAAACACGATAAAAACACGTATATAAACGAAAACGTGCATCTGCGCCATTCATTCACATAGACACGAAGAACATGCAGGATTCATATTTAAAATGTATTTTTCTGATTAAAGGGGTCATATGATGCTTTTTTAAAGATCATTATTTTGTGTATTTGGTGTAACAGAATATGTTGACATGCTTTAATGTTCAAAAAACACATTATTTTTCAAATACTGTACATTATTGTAGGTCCTCTATGCCCCGCCTCTCTCAAACGCTTCGTTTTCTACAAAGTCCCTCCTTCCGACAAGCACAGTCTGCTCTGATTGGCCAGCTAACCCAGTGCATTGTGATTG